CCCACAAGCTATAAGTAGATCACCAAGATAGACCTTAAAAACATGTATATTGGTTCCTTCTTTGGCTTTGGTATACAAGACTTCGATTCTCTTTCCGAGTTTATCACCCAAACCTAAAAGCCTAAGATATGTTCGTTCAGGTTGCTTCCGTAAATCATCCAATGTACATATTGGCTCCACAAGAACCCTAAAGATCTGCAAAGAATCGTATAAACATAGAAGAAAGACAAAGAACCAAATCCAAGTAGACAAAATACATTACCTCCCAAACTCTTTGCACATCAAAATCCACATCAATATAAACAGCTCCAGCTATTGCTTCCACAAGATCAGCAAGAAATTTTGGAGCTTTCACCAATCCACCACACGGAGCTGGATAAACTTCTTCCTTCACCGCCTCTGAGAAATCTTTAATCTTTAAGACATGACACCACTTGTTGGTAAGAACATGTGACTCTAAAACAAAAAAAAAAAAAAACAGAGTTTTGTTTACTTACCATTTTATGTAGAAGAGGATTTGGAGCGTCGAATATAATGAATTGGTGGAGGTTGTTGTTGACGGCGACACGAGCGAAAGTCTCGTTACTTACGTTTGCAATTCGTACATCGTTTAAATCGTTGGGATGGAGATTAGGGTAAGTGATTTCGATGTGATTGGAGAAGACGACTAGAAGAACTGAATCGCCGAGGAACTCAAGTCGTTCGAATAATAAAGACGATGATTCAGTATTACTACCAGAGGTTTTTGTTATAGCTTCTTTGAGAAGATTCTTGTCAGTGAATGTGTAGTTTAAGATCTTCTCTACGGCTTCTACGGATTCCATCTCCGGCCAAAAGCTCAAGGCGGCGTCGAAGATCGGAAGATTAGGTCAGTGATTGTGTATGTTCGGTTTTTGGTTTCATAAAATCTGAAACCGTTTGGCCAAAAAAAAAAAAAAATTGTGAAACCGTAGTCATTTGTATAATCCGGTTTGGTTTTGGTTTGACACAATTTTTGGTTTAAACTTGGTTCTGTTTATTTTGGTTTGGGTTCACTGTTATGTTTGACCAACTAGGGATTGACCCGCGGGGCTATATTTTTTAAAGAAAAGTAATTTTTTTTTTTTTAAGATTAGCTAAAGATATAGCATATTATTTTGTATTTTTTAAATGTAAATATCTATCTATGTATTATTTAGTGTATGATTACTATTGTTTAGGTTTCAGTTTTTAAAGTGTAGATACGAAAACATACAGTTCATTAAATAACAATGTGCGGCGGATTTTAAAAATTTGAATATTTATCGATTTGTTTATAACTAAAAATGATAAATTTTAGGTTGTATTTGTTTTGTTAATATTGTTTGTTTTGTTTAGTGTTTAAGGTTGTATAATTGTATTTTGATTATTAATTCTACGATTTCACCCGTGGTATACCGTTCCATATTAATATCGACCCAAACCCGTTCCACCATATAACCCCGTCCATATTATCCGGTTAACTAAATTATTAGATTTATAAAATCCAATAATTTATATTGATTAGTTTCAACAATTGTTTATATTTGTAGGTGAAAATTAAATTTGTTTGAAAAATGATTTATTTGTTTCTGCAATCATGTTGAAGTGTTTTCCCGAAACAATTTTATGTATTATATGACAACAATTTAATTGATTCAGTATGGAAACAAACTGTTTCAATTACATAGGAAGTTTTCCACAGTAATAAAACAAATGTAAAAGTGAAACTAATAAATCATTAAAGAAACAGAACCATAGTTCTCTAATCCCTCGCTCAATGTCGTCGTCTCTCTTCGAGATGAGCTTTTGCGCAGGTCATCCTTCCCTTCCATCAACCTATATTCTTAGCAAACTTCTGCTATCTTCCAAATTCTAAGGTTCAAAGCTTCTTTATCCGTTTATAATGGTGATTAGCAATGGTGTATTATTGAGCCGTACGTGTTACTTGAGGCTGCAACCGCCAAGCCTTGTACTGCGCCGGAGATTCTGCGGAGCCACCGCTTGCTCTGTTCCTCTGAACGGGACGAAGAAGAGAAAGTCTGAAAAAGAGAAGGTGATTGTGATTTCTAGTCCCACCGGCGCCGGAAAGCAGATTTGCTATGGAGCTCGCCAAGCATCTCAATGGCAAAATCGTTAGCGCTGACTCCGTTCAGGACCATTCTTTGCTCTAATCCGACTTGTACTCTCTAAATAAGTGATAGCTTACTATACAAATTCTCATTTCCCTTCTAAAAAACAAACAAAAGTAGCTCAAAGACATTTCACTTTTTCTATCACTCTCCTTGTTTAGAGTTTAGAAATGACTCTAAATATTATCGTTTCCGCCCCAAACCACTATTCGATATGATGTATCTAAAGTCCAATAGAGTTACCTAATTCAACGGCCTGAGCCACTCTTGAGCCGTTCGTAACAGCGTCCCGACTCTCTCTGGTTCTCGTCCATGTCACTCTCTGGGCTCCATACTGAAAATTTAAACTTGTAGGATGCGAGACCGAAAGTGGGCAATGGAAGCTTCGACGGTACAACTGATTTGCTTGAGCTTTGACCTTCCTAATTGCTTGTACCTTTTACCAATAATGTAAGAGTTGAATAGTGATGTTTTATAATAAGCCCATGTTTAGACTACGTTTCATATATGCAGAGAAGGCTTACCTCGACAGGGTGTTGATAAAGAGTGGAATGGTAAAAAGCAAGCATCGAGGTTTTGTAACGATTGACCTAATGGTATTTTGGTATATTAGGTACCTTTAATAATGTGAGAAGAAAAAAGATTTAGAAATAAAGATCTGGAAAAATAAATTCGTGAAAGTGTATAAAAGGACAGGTCACGTGCATTACCAAGCAACAGAGCCCCAACTCGAAGGCGAAATATCACAGCTTCTTTATGTTCTGAGTGCTGGAAATTACGACGGCGAGTTTAGATCTGCAATATTAAGGTTAAACATTATTATGAGACAGAGCATAACATTTTTACCGGCTACAAAATTGAACACATATAACATGTTAATAGAAGGCAGACCACTTTTGTTACATGTATAAGCAGAGATATTCAAAGAAAAGGTCACCAAGAGAGTTACTGTTGGCCTCACTTTCATAACCCGATGAATGCAAGGTTTCTCGTCCAAAGAGACCATGTATAAACTCCAAGAAAGGTCTCTACAGTCATTGTTGCCATCGCTACTCATGTCTCTAGGCTATCAATATGTGCAAAGCATTTATACTCGACGAAATTAGATGTAAGCGTATTTTGATGGCCAAGCAAAAAAGAATTGATACCATTTGGAAATTGGAATAAAAGATATATAATCGTTTGTACTATAGGAATATGCTATGATTAGAGTATTAATTGTTTTCTATATACACGATTACTCGAATATTAGGAGGGAAAATTATAGTAAATAGTAAATGAAATCTAATAAAATCATAACCAAATTAGATCTTACGTAAGGAAAAAAATATATTTAGTATTAATTAGTTGGAATTTGTTAGATTTGAATACATAAATTGGAGAATATAAAACCAAGATTATAGGAACATAATCGAGATTATAGGAACATAATCTCGGGCTCTTAATTGAGTTGAAATTTAGGTAAGATTCTTGAGACTCAAGGTAGTTTGAGAGTAAATCAAATTGATGAGATATTCTTTAGAAACATAATTGGTAATTTAGATCGGATTAGGTTTGATAGCAATTTAAATTAAATGCTAATCTAGATATTAAAACGATTTGGAGGTTTTATTAGTTTCCATTAGATAAATTTTCGTAATATTCGTTTAAAAGAATTAACAAAAATGGTATCTATGCTTTGATTAGGATTAGTTTTTGGTTAGTTGTTTAAATTTCGTAGATATGACCGAGATTATGATGATTAAGAGTTTTAATTTCTAATAAATGACTTCCATATTTTAGGATTTGAGATCTCGTTACCATTTAAATAGGAAATGTTTTAAGAGTTTATTTATTGATTTGTAAATTTGATTAAGACATATATTTATATATTTTTTTCCAGATTTTATTTGTAGGGACTAAATGTACAATATTAAAATTGTAAAAGGATTTTTGAGGCCAAATCTTCACCAAAAATGTATAAATAGATTTTTAGACTAATTTGGCCATGTCAACCAAATTAGTCCCAAAGTTGCAAATTGATGGGTTTTTTTGGATTTTTTTTTCTTGAACTGCATGAATCTTGTCATAAGAGATATTTGGAAAACCACTAATAATAAGGTACATAAGAAAATAGGATAATATTAAGGAATAACCAAATTATATTTAAAATTTAAGGAAATAGCAAAGAAAAAAGTTTTTGTTGCAAAATATTCATGGACCAACGTTTTCAGAAAAAGTGAAATAATAGAATCACCCTTCGTTTGTTGCGAGTTTAATAGAAGACAAGACAATTTCGTGAGATTTTAGAAAATAGCATGTACCATTTAAATTTCATATGTTGTATTGAACTGAAAGACATGATATTTGAGAAAAAGTAGTGATTTAAAAAAAAAAAAAACACAATGTATGTAGAGTTTTTTTTATATAAAAAATATTGTTATGAAAAAATTTAACCTGAAATAGAATAATTTTTAAAGAAATCACATGTGATATTCATCAAACACGTGTATTACTACAAAATAACATGATAAAGAGAGATATTAAACTAAATAGAATATTTTTTCCAAGAGATACCATTATGCTCTTTATAAATAACATGATAAAGAGAAATATTTATGCTATCACATATAATTCGAGAGAAAAACATGTTACGAAAGATACTTACGTAATTACATGTGCTCTCCGACAAGTTATTGTAGCATAATGCTATTTTGTTAATTATCCACAAACATTTGACTATTTTGTGCATCTTCTCTAAAAAATATGGATATAGATCCACAACTTGTTGTCAAATTGACATAGTGTAAGGCTACTATTTGGGAGTCGACACAATTTATGGATCATATCAATTCTCTACTGAATTATGTGCGTCTTGGTCCTTTTAGGTATTTTTGCTACATTGATGGCTCTTGGAAGAATTCAAACTTATTTCCAAGTTTAGCCTAATTTTATTTCCAAGATACGTGGAGGGTTCTCTCTTTGGTCAAATATTCAAGCAAGAGTCTTTCTCGACTTATTTGTGAAATGTATGATATATGGGCTATGAGATGTATATTATATACAACAGTCACCTTTTCTCAGCGCTTATTGATGAGGTTTTGATGTTTGTAACATCATTGTAACATTGTTAACGGATATATAGTCGGATACCAACGGCAAACAAATATTAAAATTTGTCATTTTTTGTCATAAAAATACCAAACCTTGCTACTTTTTTACCATTAAAACTAGATCATTACCCGTGCTATACAGCACGGGATTTAATATTTTGTATGAATCAAATTATAGATTTTATTTGAAGAATTAAATAATAATATAATATAATAGTAATAAAGGAAATATATCCTAATGTTTTATTTTTATTACTATTTGGATATAATGTTGTATATTTCATTTGACAATGGCTGTATATTTTATTTGTAGACTTAAATAATAATATAGATAATAAATTTTAAATCTATATTCCATATCATATTGGATTATTTTATTATAGTAATTAAATGTTGTTTAATCTAACTTGGTTGAAAAACATAATTTGGTAATAAAGAAAGAGAGAATATTGTATTGTATATAAAATATATATATATATATATATTTTTTTTTTGACAGCTGTATATAAAATATATTTAGCTGCATTAGAATTCTATTTTTGTTTATATGAGATTAACAAATTATTTGGTTCAATTAGGTATTCATAATTGCATTGTGTCATTGATAACAACAAAATATATTTGTATTGTGTTGAAGTTTTTACGTGGGCTATATTGGGTTTTGTTTGCTCACTTCTAACTGTATTTGGCCCAGTATCATGTTGTTTTTAAAAAACCACATAAATTCACTTATTTGGCCCAGTATCACCAGATTTTACCCCGCTGTATACCGCATGTCGATTTATTTAACTTTAAAATTAAATTTTTATTTGTATTTTTTAATATTGTTTATTTTGTTAAGTATTTAAGATTATTTTTATTATTAATTTTAGGATTTTACCTGTGATATATATACCGTCCCGTATTAATATCGACTCAAACCCGTCCCACCATATAACTCCCTTCCGTGAAATTAAACCTCATTTTGTTATTTTTCTTTTTAATAATACTTTTCTTTAAAAGAAATATAATTTGAGTCAATTTAAATTTTTTTTTAAAATGGTTTCCATAATATATATATATATATATATATATATATATATATATATATATATATTTAAATTTTATAGAGTTCAAATATTATTAATATTATACATTTTATAGAATTTAAATATCATAATACTTTAAATGTTTTATGTGTAGTATCTATTCATAATATATTGATAATATTTTTACATGTTTACTTTGTAAAATATATAATAGTAATGGATCATGCGAAAAGTAATTATAAAAATTAAACGTTAGTAAATAAAAATGATTCACAATTTGGTTAACATAAATATTAGTACTAAGTGTTTAAGTTTTTTTTTTTTTTTTTGTTGTGTTATACATTGCACAATTCCATGTATAACAAATATAATTCACCAAATCAGATGTTGATTTCTATATACTACAAATATAAAGTCTTTTATGATATTTAGCCATATCAAGAGACAAAGAATTATTATTATCATAAAACTGGAAAGATCAAAATTCTTATTTTATTCAATTGTGTGTAATGTATCTCTATCGTTACAAATTTATTCAAAAATCTTAAACCTCGAACGAACATTCTTGGTTACAAAACAAATTAATGAAGAAAACCAATTTTCATACAAATCGTGAACTATCTATGATAGAGGAAGACGGTGTGGTGTGTGTAGAAGATGTTGTCGGCGATTTGCAGCGCCGTCTACTTCTCTCTCCCGACGGTGAAGATTGAACCGCCACCAGAGCGTAAACTCTATTATTCGTTGTATCGTGCGACAGCACCCAAATTCCTTCCACCACCATGAATTGTAGTTGTTGTGGATTTTCTCCACCGTTTGTTACTACCGGAGTAGCTGGTCTTCTTGTGTGCAATCTATATTTCTATAAATATCAAGAAAGTTAAAATTATGAATCTATGATATAGTGAGAACGTAAAATGATTATACTATTTGTTACCTGTAAATGGCTTTTAACTTCGTCATTAGTTAAACCATCGACCTTCACCTTCATGAGATCTCTAATCTGTTTAGGTGTAGCAACTGCAAACGTGGCAATAAACCAAAATAAATATTACTTGTCGTAAAACTATGATTCAAACAATCAAAGGATTTAATATATTACCATGTGATCCACCAAGTTGTTGAAGCTGATGATATGGATGCAATATTAATAAACAAAAAACCAATACAAATTGCTTTTAACTGAAATCAATTACGTACCAGCCTTAGTCATCCCAATCCCACTATCGATAATGTTCAAGGTGTTGTTAGTCTTGTCGGGAATGATATGAAGGAATAGCTCAGGCTGACCATCGAGCTTGCTCTTGTCCGTCAACGACTCAAACCTAATCATGTCCAAAGCCTATTCCACCAGAATAAAATAGTTTTACAAAGTCGAATCACAATAGATTTCACTCACCAATTACTCTAGACATGGCAAGAACTCCAACAACCCTAGCTCCATGTTCAGTGTAGCCTTGTTGACTTCAAGGAAAAGTTAAGAAAAAAATCTGCATTAGACATAACAAATTCAATCATTAGTCAATACCAAAAGAATCTTTGTATGGAACACAAAACAAAAAATATGAAAGGTTTTATAACAAAATAAAAGAAACAAAAACTGTGTTAGTACTATATCTATTGAATTCACCCAAAAAAAACAAACTATTGTTTTCAAAATCGTTTAATCTTGACTTTTATTTCTACATGTTCGGTGTTTATTTCTACATGGCTTGAAAGAAGTGTTTATTGTTTGGTGAGATTAGAAAATGCGACTTAGATGTATTTATAGTGTTCTCAGAAAATTATAGGGTTTTTTTTGAGTGAGTAGAAAACCTCTTACTAAGCAAGTATAAAATATATTCATAATATAATATATTTGGAATTTATTTAGGAAAAAATATAAATTAGCTATGGAATATGCTAGTAATATGCTAAAGATTACCATTTTTATAGGAAAGAAATCGATTACATTTATGTTTATTGTTAGCATTCAAATTTTATTTTATTTTTGGCAATAAATCTTTAATACCACAACTAAAAAACGTTAGAAAAAATTAAATTTTTATTAGCATTAAATTAAAAACGTGAATCAAATTAATTTATTGTTAGCATTAAATATTGATTTGTTAGAATAATATATCAATTTATTGTGTTTTTTTAGATATGGCATTAAAAAACTATTACATTTTTTTTCTAGCATTCAAATAGGAAACCATTTGATTTGAAAATATTTGTTTGTTATAACTACATATACGATTTATATATTTGCAAATCAATAACTAAATTTTGTTTAAATATTTTTAGGAATAAAGCCAATTAAGAATGAAAGATCCTATTGAATATTTTCATTTAATTATTTTCTAATAGCATTAATCTCTCAAATTTGTTATCGCAATCTTAGGAAATATTGCCGTAAATCAGCTATAACTAATTAATGTTATTTACTATTAAGATTTATTTGTAAATTTGGTTAAGAAAAATATTTTCTCAGATTTTATTTGTAGGGACTAAATGTACAATATTGAAATTGTAAAAGGATTTTTGAGGCCAATCTTCTCCAAAAATGTATATATAGATTTTTGATAACATGTTCGAATAATGGATTACTATATAACATTTTCAATAATATTTTCGATAAAATTTTCGAATAATAGATTAGTATATAACATTTTCGAATTATATTAATTGTGTAATCGTTTGAAGAAATATTTTTTCAAATGATATGAATTATATAAACAAAATCTTTTAATATCTTTAAACCCGTTTGACCCGTTGACCCGTAAATATATATTAGTGACATGGAATAAAATGATTATGATTAGAATTCTCTAATGGCATATATTGTAATTTCTTACAAAATCAACGTTATGATCCTTAGGATGTACTTCCCAAATATTAGTATAGGATATGGTAATATACAAACAATGGTGATCTCATAATAAAGACATAAAGCAAAACCACAAACAATCCCAACAAAATGTGAATATGATACGACACATAAATAATGGTAGTCTCATTTATTGACGACACAATAACGAAATGAAAATCCAATGTTTGATACTTTAACGTTGAAATTGGATTTAATACCACATCATTACCAACGGGGTAGCATGGGCATGACGGTGAACTTCATGGTACCGTTGTTGCAGTGAGCACCATCATGCTCCCCGCACGAAATGTAGTAAGGTCTCATCTGTTTTAGAACAAACTCAAAGCCTTTTCCCGCACCTTGCTTCGGGGATGCAATCATTTTGCCTTTCTTCACGTCACACTTTTCATAGCTCGATGGGTTTGGAAGCAAGTAGACGCTGTGCGTGAACGGGGCTGGTGGGTTGTATTTGAAAACTGCACTCGGATGATCATATCATTAATATTTTTGTCAAAATTACTACATTGATAAAAAGCTTTAAATGTAGAAACGTATAATGCAGACTACTTAATTGCAAACTAGACATATTTATGTATGGATGTATTTTTTTTTAGTGGTTATCCACACTGTTAAGAAACAAACTTTCTGCGAATCCCAAAAATCAAGAGGTCTAGCCCGCGATAGATTAGTCGGCCATCAAAAGTATATGCATTTCCTAAAAAATGTGAGATAATTTCAAAAAGAAATTGACTCACCAAGTATGTCATTGAGAAAGAATGGAGCAGTCTTAGACGCCCACTCGGCGTAGTTGACACCATAATTCCACTCTTTGTCTCCACCGACTATGATCTTTCTAGGTCCATTATAGGTAGCATTATAGTTTTTTGAATGACCTCCATATTCCCAGCCCGAACCCGACCCTCCAGATCCCGAGCTGTAATTGTTGTTAGGACCCATGCCCCATCCCCAACCCGAGCCACCAGATCCCGAGTTGTGTGTATTGTTGGGAACCCCGCCCCAACCCCAACCCCAGCCTGAGCCGTTTCGGCTAGAGCCCCAACCCCATCCTGACCCTGGGGTCGAACCTGAACCACTTGAATAGTTGGAGCCTTGACCCCAACCCCAACCCCAACCCCATCCGGACCTTGAGTTTGAACCTGAACCACTTGAATTGTTGGAGTGCTCACCCCAACCCCACCCAAAGCCCCTATTGGCCTCAGCAAATGTGGAGAATATGGAAGCAATGGTCACTAGGACTAAAAAAACGTTCAAAAAACGAGAGTGTGCCATTGCTTCTTCTTGTGAATTGTTAGCTATTTGATAAGTGATTGTGTTGGTGTTCTTTGAAATTTTAGAGTTTGGCTATTTATAGGAGGAGGAGATATGAGAGAGATGGTGTAAAACTGCCGAAAAATGTGAGATTTTAGTCACCTTTTTCTTTAAAATATTGATAACAAAGAAGAATGATTATCGAACTAACATTTCTTCCTTTTAGCACACAATGTTACATTCATTTACATGAGTGAAAAAGTAAGGTACGGCCGTAAATGTTTGAATTATAGCCGATAATAAAATAAATTTAAAATTGAACAGAAGTGAGAAACCAAATAAACGAGAGGATTCATAAGAAAAAAAAGGGAAATGCATTGGACTTATTTTAGTGGAAGGACGTTGACTAACTAGTAAGTCAATGCATTTTCAAGTGGAAGAAACTTTTCTCTTGTTAAATTGCGACTTGAACTAATTAACGTTGACGAATCCAAACATATAATTTTACGAATCATCTTGTACAATTTCAGCATTAATTTGTCTTCTAATTACGTTTGAGTGACGATAAAATGATGTAACATAAAAGCTCAAAGTATTAGTTGTGGTTGGGCCGTTGGGGACGTGTAGTCGGAACAAAATTAACATTCAACTTGCTTAAGTTACTTACATTTAAAACTAAAGTAAATTACAAAGACATTTTCAACAAAATAGTTTTTCCAAAAGTTGGTAATATTCCCAATCTTTTCCATTTCACTAAACGTGAAAGAATACAACAGAAGATAGAGGTTTATGGGATATGTTTCATCGATTTGTTTGATTAAATCATCAAACTCAAGTCTCTAGAATTTAATTTAGTTAATAACTTCCAATATTTCAAATAGTATTCATGCCATTGTTATTTTTCTAAACATGAAATTTTTTTAAAAAAATTCAAAGATTAGTTTGCAAAATTTATAAATTACAAAACTAGTTTTTGAGATTTTTTTGTATAAGAAAACTATCAAAAATCATTTCACATTTTTATTTATTTGTAATAAATCACAAAAGCTTCCAACGAGATTCCAAAACAGAATTTTCGGAAGCGTCACGGAGGGGAGATTCCGAAAGCTTCCGAGAACTTTCGATTCCGCAGCGGGCAGCTTTCGGTACTACGTAGAGTTTAATAAACACTACACTCAAACAAACAAAAAAATCAGTTATCCTCTATATTTAATGTCCGGCTTCGAAAAAATATTATAAGAAAAAAACGCAACCTACAAAGACATTTATTAAGATTGTTATTAGGGAAAGTTACTAGATTAACCCAAATAATGACTTTAATTACTAGAATGTCTCATAAAATTAGGGGGTTAGATGGGTGTGGATGTCGGATTCACACACTCAAGTATTTTATTAAGTAGGAAAGATTATTCTTGAGGGACAAAAATGAATATGTAAAAACTTTATAAATTGCTACGAAAATTGCTATAGTATTTCTTTCTTCAGAGGAAGATCCCCTTTACATGGCCATTGGCCTTTATATTTATACATAGAGAAACGACATTAAAATGAGTAATTAAGTACAATTATTCCTTCTTAAATGTGTCCGTTTTGATTCCTTGACTTTAATGCTCAACGTTTGAATTTGAGTTGACTCTGATCTTCGTGGGCCTCGCCTTTTCGGCCCAAATGTCCTTGAACCGTCTTACCCGTGTCTTCTACACCGAACTCATGTCATAATGCAGTCACTTCGGATTCTCGAAGTGGTGATAACCACTTCGACCTTTCCTTCGGCTCATGGGTCCAATGAGCTTCATCCTTTATGGGCCATTATCTTGACTACGTGGCAATCTTTGGTTGGTCTCGTACTTCTGGTGCGGGATCCGACACCAACAATTAGCCCCCCAAGTTCTTCGAAGTGCTATTCCAATTCGGAGGACTTTAAATGCTCAAGTGGCCAAAGATTGCGCTCGAGAATCTTTCTGATTTCCCGCCAAAAATCTCATCACTCCTTTAATTTCGGCACTAGCCATTTTTAACCGAGTGACATCTGTCATCATTATGACCGTATATTGATTAATTACTATTAAAACGGGAAAAAAAACCTTCCCACTTCCCACACAACTTCCGAGGCGGTTTCATCATTAGCTTGAGGTAACTTCTTTTCACCATTACTCTCTTCTTTTACTTTTGTACTTTAATCAGAACCTCTCTCTTCTTTTCTTCACAAAAACCTCTCTTCGCCGGATCTTGAATTTTTCTTTCTTCCCAATGACTTCCGATTCCGATAGACCCGAATCTCCGTCGTTTGATGAGAGGCGTTCTAGCAATGACGAGTGCACCCGCTCTAACGATATTGCCGGTCCGCACTATAGATCCACCTGCACCCTTCAGTCCCTCGAACGATTGAAAGAGCTCTGCCGAATTCCACCGGAAATTATGGCGGAGGCGCAGATAGCTGATCCTACGGAGTCCCCAGAAAACCATCGCGACGGCTATTTCTGTGTATACGAGATCTATTTTAAGGGTTGCGGGCTGACCTTTCCTCTTCCCGAAGCCCTAGTTCTATACCTAGCGGCTCTTGAAATCGCTCTTCCTCAATTAACCCCCAACCTTCTCCGTACTATTCTTGGAATTATAACAATCGCGGCGGAGGCCGGTTACGTTGTCGGAGTTACTGAACTAAATGAGCTTCTAAGCGTGAGAAGTTCATCGAAGAAAACGGGGTATTTCTCAG